GGTAAGCATTTTGAGAGAATTCGGGGAGGGGGAACTACTTCATTGGTATCTTATGATGTATGAGTGAACCTCGTGATTGTTTTCCTTTTCAGTACATTAGAATCTAGCTAATTCAAACTGTCTGAGGAGCCATGTTGTGATTCTTGTGAGATAGCAAGTGACAAATTTAATGAAAGAGCAAGGGTAACTCATTACAATGTTTGTTTTGACAAGTCTAGTTCAATTTTAATTTGATCTGTGATTCATAATGTATTAGTGCTATTAAATACACTGCAGTATATTGTGGGGGGGGGGGGGAAAGGTAAAAGTTTCAAAAGTGCCTAAATCTCATTGATTCAGTGTGGTTTAGATTTCTAAGTGACTTAAGCACTTTTGAAAATTTTACCCAGAGTCGTCTTAGTATGAGATTGTTACATTGCCCTCGATTTACGCTTCCAGTGAGGAGTGTAATCTTTTGTGCAGACTAATAATGACATGAAAATGGCTGCATTGCGTAAAATGCACAAGTTCTCTGGAGATAGATCTAACTGATTTGTTGTGTAGCAGGTGATGGGAGAGGGTTACTAAATACCTCCTCTGAAAAAGAGAAGCTTAGTGAGAAGTTGGTAGGCAGTATCTAGGTTAAGGCATGGTGGTAAAGGATGGACAGATTAGTGGTAGTCTAGCAGCTTCTTGCCATCTTGGGAAAGGGGAGTTGTTGACAATAGCAACAGTATTGAGAGTAAGGGAAGAAAGTGGGAGAACAGAGTAGGCCTCTTAAGGACTGCTTTTTTGCCAGAATAAGCAGTTTAGAAGTGCTCTTGAATATAGTTTCTCCTAAGAAATACTTAAATTTTGAGTTTGGGGCATGGCAAGAACAGTAGGGAACTCTGACCTCCAAATTATATCTGATAAGGGCTTTGGATGGATGTAACAGTGCTATAGCCTCTTGCAAATGTTCACTAGTTGACCTGTAGGAGAAATTCTAAATTTGGGCCGTGAGTAGGAAAGGCAGAGTTGAGCTGGGCATGATGCAGCATTATCTCTAATACATATTATTGGGCACAGGGAGGGTCTTTCCCTATATATTTTTACAGTATGTAGCACAGTGGAATCCTGATCTTGATTGCGCTGTTGGGGTGCTACTACAATATAATTACCTTGACATGCCAGGCCACTGCCCTCTGTCCATTCAGATTTATCTTCAGTACCCATTGCAATGCCTGCAAGAAATGACATTTTAAAAGAAAAAAATGTAAAGTAATTTGGTTTATCTTCTCTGATCACTTTACTTGTATGTTGTTGTTGTGGGAGCTCTACAGTCTTGGCAGGGCTCCATTGTGCTGTACACGCATTGAGGGGAAAGATGATGGCCCCTTTCCCCAAAAGCGTACGGTCTAAGTATAAGACAAGAGACAGTACGTGGTTACAGACATGGGAGCACAAAGAAACAATAAGACAGTGCCCCTTTCTCCCCTTTGTTTTTAGTCTTTAGATTGTAATCTGTGAGGCACAGATCATTTCCCTATATGTCTGTGCAGCGTCTAGCACATTTTTGGTGCTACCATAGTACTAAAAATAAGGATTGTTCACATCTCAGATACATGGTAGAAAATATCTACTATGTAAGCTGATATTGCATCAGTCTCTGTTAAACTTTGATACACAGTAGACACTTCCTCTCCTGTCTTTTGCATGCAAAACTGGTCTTGATTGGAGTACAAATATTTGATATTTAGAAAAGCAGCCCAGTGGAAGCAGCATGCATCCTTGAAGAGTTGCAGTGTTCCTTAGTAATTGAAGACAAGCAGCTTTAACTTGGACATTTGCTGTCTTATGTATGTCTGGTTGGTCTGCTTGAGAGTTCTGAGGGAGCAAGTGAGAATATAGGATTCCTTGCCTGGGATGAATTTGTTCCTGTTCTTATATGTAGTTATAGCTCTTTTGTACCACCTTAGAATTAATACTTTTAGTGATCTTTAATCGCGTCAGACAGAATGATAAGCCTGCCAGTGAGCCTTTCTGGACACAGAGGTTGGAATGCTGTATCAGACTTGCAGACCTTGTCCTGGAATACTGTCTAACTCTCAGTTGTATCTGAAGAATTGAGTGAAGATGAGGTTTGCTATGACCTGCACTTCTGTGTTTTCATCTTCTAACTTGTATTATCAGAATAGCACCACTGGGAATGGATCAATTTTATCTTCTCTCCTCAGTCTCACAAATCCTTGTGAGATTGAATTGTTTCCCTATGATGGCTGTATGTGAAGCTTCCTTTTACCTTTTGTACTTTTTGTACTTTTAGGACACACATTACTTTTTTTTGCCATTTTAAATGTTAAATTGACTAGATTACCAAGAGGTCTCAATTGGAATTGGAGCCTCATTGCATTAGGCAGTCTTCAAACACATAGGAACATGTGGTCCCTGTCCTGACTAGCTAGTCCATTTACTTAAAATACCACTAATACCAGTATTGTGTTTTCTAAAGGTCAACTGAAAGTTTCAAAGTGCAGCCTCTGTACCCATAAGTATATGTTGCCTAAGCCAAGACTAAGAGGGTCAGTATCACCATCAGACTGCTCCAAATGCATTCACCAGACTTGTCCTCCCTCACAAATCTTGGATCCTGCTGAAACATTTTCACTGTAATCATAGGCCTAGTAGCTGTATGTGTAAGTGTGTTTAGGGAAAACAGATACTGTGATTGTTCTGAACAGCCAATGCAGCATAATCATCATTTACCAACTGTTACCACAGTATTTCCAATACCACAGTGTGTTTTGTTACGCTGTGAACAGAGATAAATGCAGTATGACAGAGACTATGAATGTAATAAAATTGATGACTTAATGGCAAGCACAAAGTTATGGAGAATGTCACAGATATCCAATTTGATGGTGGAATAGTGCACATATATAAAGGGAGCTAGGAAGTGAAACTGTTGCTGCAAAATTGAGTTACTTTGGATTTTTGGTGAAGGATAAAAATACATTTTACTTAAACCTTGGAAGAATAGTTGCAAACATTAGAAAAAAAACATTAAAAAAAAAAAAGTAACCATGAATCTCTTGGCGGCAGATAAATTGGTGTTTGGAAACACCGATGTCCTTCTAAAAAAATCCTGTAATAAATAAATTACAATTCAAAAATTGTGCTGGCAATACAATAAATAATAAAAGATGTTGGGTTTTATTTTGTGCATCAGCTAAAAAGCCAGTAGAAAGGAAGGAATGTTAGTCATTCTGGACTGGGTAATGATGGAGCCTTTATTGCTGAGCTGGAATGTGGTTATGCAGTAAGAATAAAAGCAAATTTGACATTGTTTGTGTACATTTGTCTTTTCATTGCCACTTGTAAGCACTGAGGTGCTTACCATTGGCATTTACTTTATGATGGTATTTCACTCCTTTTGAACGCTTGCAAGATTATTTCATTTTACCAGGTTTTTTTAAGGTAGATAAAAGGTTTAGCTTTCATTAGATTTATTCAGGTTTGCTATTAAACTTCAACTGGAGCAACAAAGCCTTCATAGGCAGGCATGACATTTTGGCAGCGACCCAATAGGATACGTGGTCTGTGCCAAATCTTTTATTTTCTTCAGCTATCAATGAAGCTGTTGTGGTAATGTGGGTTTTGTGAACTGTGAGAATTTATGTGCACAAAGGGACTTGCTCTTCGCAGGGAACATTGGGAGCCCTGAGCCCAAGAGGAAGGGTAATTAAAGTTAATGAACCAGGATAACCTTTTCATGGTGGTGCCCACTAGCACAATTATAGACAAGGGTCAATAGCCATTTAAATTCTATATCACATTTTTAACTGTGCTGTTTAATTGGTACCGGATTGAAAGTTGGCAGACAGTTATAGTAAACTAGTGCACAATTTTTTAAGAAAAGTACTTTAAGTGAATACTTAAAGGGTTTTGAAAGTTGCCCCCCCTAGAAATGCTCTTACATTTTGAGAAAAATAAATTTGAATTCTAGTTCACTAATCGATTGCTTTTTGGTGTTAAAATCAAATTTTCTTTTGAGAAGATCTGAGACTTCAAAGCTACCAAGCCAGTAAGACTAGATGCTTCCTACTCCTACTCCTCCTATCAGAGCACTGAGATTCTTTTTCACTTCTCCTTTGTGCAGAGACTCTATGCCTCCCACACCCAGAAGAGTCATTCATTTACATCTGAGCATGGATGCCTGTTGGAGCCCATTATGTTGGGCATTAATTGCTTGATGGGGTCATAGTTTTAATATGCCTCTATCTCTGACATTTAACTCTTGAGGGGTAGCAAGCTCTGAAGGAATCGGCTTGGAACTTGAAGTCATGGAATTTTCTGTCTCTGCTACTAATTTGTTTGTGTGGCCTTCCTTACTTGTCAATCTCAGAGCCCTTCATAAATTGTAATTACCTCACTGTTAAGGGAAGTATATCTGTTTTACAGAAGGGCAGACTAAGCTAGAACACTTGTAACTGAGTCCATGTCGAATATCAGGCCTGCCAGAGCTTGGAATAGAACCCAATTTCAGGTTCTAGTTGATAGCCTGCACCACATACAATACAAAAGCCTAACACCCTGTTGAACAAGCTGTACTTATTCACAGTATCCTGAACATGAATATTGGTTGATTTTTAAAAAAAAAATTGTTGTCCTTTTCTCCAGTACTTATACAGTGACATACTGGATTTGATTCTCCCTTCTGAGAGAGACAGACATTATAAATAAAATCAGAATAGCCTAGAAAATTGACTGTATATCTAAGGGGGCTGCGTCAAGCCCCTCTGAAAACCTAAATTATTAGATAAACCACCTCCTTCCCATTGCTCTTTCAATTAACAGGTGAGAGAGAATTGTATTCAGAAAGGAACTGGCTTGAAATTAGTATGAATTTTCATGTCCACTGACTTAGAAATTGATTAATGCGTGGTGTCTTTTCATCCTAGGTAGATCATACCTCTTCAAGGCATTCAAATTAACTGGCTTTGTGTTTTTTAAAATCCATGTATGTTCTTACATTTTTATAGAAACTGTTTATTTGTTCGGTGGCTGGGATGGGACTCAGGATCTGGCTGACTTCTGGGCATACAGTGTGAAGGAAAACCAGTGGACCTGTATATCCAGAGATACCGAAAAAGAGGTAAATTTCCCCCAAACATTCATATTACTGGTATCTGATTAAATGTGTCCCCTCTTAGTTACAAAATTGGTCATGCTTCTGTAATACTTGTGTTAGAGTATTGCTTACATTAAGGTTCAGATTTCAGACGCTGCTGATCTACTGGACTTTTGCAGTGTTTATATTGGAGAATGTGAAATAAAGTGGCTTCTCAGCCTCAAATACTTTTCAGAGTAGAGGAGGGAAGAAGTGGTTTTATTCGTCAATAGCAGAATAACCCACAAGATAGAGACAAGGTGGGTGAGGTAATATCTTTTATTGGATCAACTTCTGTTGATGAAAGAGACAGGCTTTCCAGCTACACAGTGTTTGTTCAGGTCTGGGAAAGGCACTCAGTGTCACAGCTAAATAAAAGATTGAACAGGTTTAGCATAAGTAGTTAGAATATATGCTAAAGGACCATTCAAGGTGATATGGCCTTTTAACACCTCTTTAGTCATAGGATAAAAATGGGGGTGGTTGGGCTACAGATTGTTGTAATAATCTGTAAATCCAGGGTCTTTATTAAAACCATGATTTTGAATTTAAACTCCAGGCATATCTTTTGAAAGTGTTGTGCAGGTTTCATTTGAAGATGACATAAAGGTCAGATACAGAAAGATCGCTTTATGAAAAGTGTTTACCCACAGGCGATGGGTGTTTTTGTCTTTTTTATCATATTCCTACATGAGTTCATTCGAGAGCGTAGAGAGTGTCTGTCTGTTTTCACCCACATAGTTCTTATTGGGGCATTTAGTGAACCGCATGAGGTACACCACATGTTGTGATAGGCATGTGTAAGACCTATGGATCTTGAAAGATGTGTTCAGGGGGGATGTTGATCATTGTAGCAGTGGAGATATGACTGCGGGTTTTGTATCTGTTCTGGCAGGGTCTGGTCCCATTTTGAACTGGTGTGCCCTGGTCTGTGGAGAGCTTGCTTTTGATGATGAGGTTGGGGTTTGTTTGAAGGCCAGAAGGGGGGGGCGGGAGTTTCAGGAAATATTTCTTTCAGGATAGGGTCCCCGTTGAATATGGGCTGTAGTTGTTAGATGTTACCCATATGGGTTCCAGTGTGGGGTGGAAGGTGACAACTAAGGGTGGGCGGTCAGAAGGGGTTTCATATCTGTAATTGAAGCAGGTTCTATCAGGGTATTTGGATGGCCCCTTCACTGATGCAATCTGCTTCTCTGGTGGAGTGTTCTTGTTTGGTAAAGGTGGTTTTGAGTATGTTTAGGTGTATATGCCGGACTTTCTCCTCAGAGCATATTCTGTGATAGTTGAGTGCCTGGCTGTAGATAACAGGTTACTTGGTGTGTTTGGGGTGGTTACTACATCTGTGAAGGTAGGTGTAGTGATCTGAGGGATTTTTTTGTAGATCGTTGTCAGTAGGGTTCCATTGTTGAAGCTAATCATGATGTCCAGGAACTTGATGCTGGTGTGGGTGGTCCAGAGAAGAGTTTAATGCATGGGTGGTGGTTGCTGAAGTTGTGGTGGAAATCAGTGAGGAAGTTTCTGTCCAGTGGATGAAATCATCATCAATGTATTATACAGTGTGTGTGTGTATATATATATATATTGGTTTTGTGGTTCTTTTGTCCAGAAATTCTTCTTCATACAACAAGATAGAATTCAGCAAGTAGCATGTGTGGAAATAATTTGACAGCACTGAACAAGCAGTCTGCCTACTGTAGCTTCAGAACCAGTGCTGGAATGTGACATCAGTACAGGAAGAACTTGTTACTTCCTTCAGCTTCTTTCAGCTACACAAATAAAAGGGACACTTAAAATTTTGAACCTAACTAAAAGGGAGGAGTGCCAGAGGCTTTGGAATCCTAAGAACTTTAGTGTTTTTGCTTGCACCATGACCTTCATCCTGTTTTTGCTTTGTTTGATGCATGAAGCTTTTGGACCTGCTGCAGTTTGGGCTAGTAGAAAGCAGCAATAAGATTTATAGATTCATAGTTAAAGGCCAGAAGGGACCATTAGATCATTTAGTCTGACTTCCTGTATATCATAGGCTATTACATTTCACCCACTTACCCCTGTATTAAACCAAGGTACTTGTGTTTAGATAAAATGTATCTTCCAGAAAGGCACCCATTGTTGATGTCTTCCAATCAAGAGATGGAAAATCCACCATTCTCAAAGGTTAATCAGCCTCACTGTTTAAAAATCCGTGCCTTATTTGTAATGTGAGTTTTTGTCTCTAACTTCAAGCCATGGTTTTTGTCTTTTCTAAAAATCCCATTAGCACTCAGTATTTTCTCCCCATGATGGTTCTTATGCACTGTTGTTTTTTTGATAATCTAAACAGGTTGAGTTTTTTGTAAGTTTTCTGCTGTAAGGCATTTTTTTTCAGTGGTTGAATCAATTTTGTGGCTCTCAATTGGACAGTCTCCAATTTTTAAAAATCTCTTTTAAAATATGGACACCGGAATTGTACACAGTACTCTGGTATCAGTCTCACCAGTGCCATATACAAAGGTAAAATCACCTCCCTACTCCTATTTGCAACTCCTTGTTTATACATCCAAGGATCACATAAGCCCTGTTTGCCATAACATTGCTCTGAGAGCTCCTGTTGAGAAGCTTGCTCACTATAACTCTTAAGTACTTTTCAGAATCACTGCTTTCAAGGATACAGTCCCCCCATTCTATAGGTATGACCTGCATTCCTTGTTTCTACATGTATAAATTCCCATTTGTCTGTATTGAAATGCAGTACCTGTGGTGCATCATGGTTCACATACTTGTGCAACCCAACTGAAGATAATGAGGCATGGGCATAATTACCAGGCGGGATTGGTGAATATCTTTCATACTTCTCTCCCCCCCCTCCTCCAACTTTTGGAGGCTGTAAAGGGGAGGGTGTGAAAGCAGTAGAGAGGGCAGAGAAGAGATTCTGAAGTTGCTTTTTGCAGCGATGCTCAGCATTCTATTTCTCCCCTCTTTCCTCCTGCTGGCTGCTGATTAGCTATTAATAGCTTAATAGGCAGGATGCAGTTCCTGTCTTGTGCTGTGGGGAGGGAGGGATAGGTGGAAAGTTATGCCATGTCCTCCTGCTGGACAAATAAGAGCCTATAGCTCTAGCTCATGCTTGCACTGGGCTCATTTCCTTCGTTCCTTCTTTGTTTGGACACCATTACTGCTAGCTCTGAGCATCCGTAGGGCAAGAGGGGCCTGGCTGGAACATGGTAGAAGCTTCTGCCTGAGTTAATTGCTCCTCCACTTCCCCTTTCTCACCTTAACGGGAGAGGAAGGAGGAGCTGCGAGGGGCACGGATATAGTGGAGGACGACAGCTATGGACGGTGGACACTATGTGATGACAAAGTACTATGGGAGGACAGTCCCTAGGAAACCGCTGAGATGACAGGCACTAGTGGTGCTAGATGTTAGGGGGCAGCTATTGAGGAAAGAGAAAACAGCTCAATATAGAAGAGGGAAAGGAGACAGGTACCAAAAAAACAGTTTGAGGAGAAAAGTAAGGGTTGGGGATGAGGGGGAGAGAATGAGATAAATTTGGGGAAAGGGAGAGACTGGGGGAGTGTAAGGAGGATGGATCTTGGAAAGGAGTAACTGGTTTTGGGGGGCGGGGGAGAGATAATCAGAACTAAGAGGAAAAAAATGGCTTGGAGGAGAAGAGAGACATTAGGGTAGTTTTATGGGGAAATCTGGGAAGACTTCATGCCAAGTTTTGAGGGGAATTTGAAGCAGAGGGAGGTTTACAGTGTGATGTGGGGATTTTATTGATTATTGAAAGAGGACATATTCAGAATTCAAATAAAATATACTGTCAGTATATACGATATAATATATGTCCTTACACACTAATAATGCCCTTCTTTCTTATGAACTATGGGTAAAACGAGGTGAAAAATGGAAAGGTTAGAATCTCAACTGGATAGGTATGCTAAAGAAGACACTTCAGATATTCCTCGAAAAAGGTCAGAATATTCATAAACAAGTCACTATAAGCAATAGTCTGACATGGAATTGCTGAAAATATTCCAATAGTTCCCAAGAGAACTTAAAATCTTATTTGCCCTTCATATTGTAGTATGTATGTATGTATTTTATTTCTGTGCCTTTAGTGCTTATTAATTTGGCACTGGTTTAGCTATCCACAATAAATTAAAGTGTTGAGCTAAAATATGAGCAGAATGCAATAAACATATCCCATTTATCCCATGTAATCTCAAGGGTAATATAAAATAAACCAGTTCTAGGACAAAGAGGTGTAACTATAAGGGAGACAGTAGTGGTCCATATATTTAGGTTGCCTAGCGTTTCTTTTATGAAAGATATTGTGTTGGGTTTTTTTAAGAAGTTGTATTGCCTCAATTGTTTGCGGCAGTCCTGTCAAATTCATTAGTGAGAGCGCCATCAGGCTAGAGAAATGCCTTTTCTTTGTCCCATTAAATTCCATTCATGTTTAGCTGAGTTATAAACTGTTGAAAATTCTATTCTATGGCTGGTGCTGTCAGCAAAATTTGGGCGGCTGGCCAAAATAACAGAACATTAATGTTTTAAAGCATTAGGCCCACACAGCAACATGGCAGCAGCAGATGATACTGTGCTCAGAATTTGGGGAGTAGACAAGCAAGCTGTTGCCAGAGCAGCTGAAGCGGAGTGGAGTGAGCAGGGCTGAGCTAACTCCCCCTCTCCCTATCATGGATTCAGTGCATGGACCCAGTGGCCCATCTTCCCACTCTGAGAGCACCATGTGAGGGCAGGTCCCTCCATCTCCGGGGAGCCCCTGACCACCACCTGGACCCAGCATCCATTCCGTCTTTTTTCCTCCCCCTGTAACAGGGTTTCTGCATATATGGTAACTTTACAAACATGTTACCTCATGAGGAAGCCTTATCATGGGTCTTACATTGAACTGTGTTGAATACACTGCCTACAAACAATCAATTGACGGTATAATTAGCAGCCATACAATGCTTAATATTAATATATTTTAGGTTGAGATTTT